TTTAATGTATGTGATTTGTTTTGTATAGTCTTGAATATTTTAAATTTTACTATTCCAATTGACTAATATTTGTTTTTCAAATATTTTTAACTTTTTATTACTTGTAAACTTTGTTCATTTTACAATTTATTTCACCCCACATTTGATGAAACTTGTTTTGTAGTATTCCCTAGTGGATGGAGAGTATGGTGAGTTTTCTCTTTTTTACTAATTTATATATCGTTTGCTCTAAGTGTTAACACACCTTACACCACATATTCTCCTTTCCACTAGGCGAGCCTGAAGATAAAGTGATGACACTTCGAAACCGGTCGCACTCAATGTTTTGTTAAATAATAAAACATTGACTTTCCTTGTGAGATATAAAGGACTTTTTCTCACCCTTCACCTTAAAAAAAAAAAAAGACTATTAAATACCGCTGGCGATCTAGCGTTGGATACAAATACTCTTTATTACCCGGTATAACTATCAATATTATGGTTTGAAATAAAACCCAATCCAATCCATTATTTGCGTCTCTTATGGCATGTAACTGAATCTATTTTTGTTTATTACAGTTTGAAAGCTGTTACATAATTTATAGTTTATCCAAAAAAAAAACTATTTACGGCAACGTCTTCTTCCTCTTCTTCTTTAGACATTTATAAGTCCGTTGTTGTTGTTGTTGTTGCAGAACACAGGGGCATTGTTTCGCCGGTCATTGTGGAAAATTCAGGAGCTGTAACTGTAGCTCAGGATGAAGGAGCAGCTTTAATATGTATAGCGCAAGGATGTCCGGCTCCGGAATACAGGTAAATTATTTCAACATCCTAGATTTACTGTCGAATGTCATTGGTTGTGATTTGTTTTTAGAAAAGTATATATTTTTGTTATTAATTATAAAAGGCAACAAGGTAAAAAATTGATTTTTTCATCTTTTTAGACGCACTATACAAATATGAACAAGTAACTTCAGTAAAACATCAATACAAAAAATTATATTCTAAACTAAATTTACAAATACCTCAATAAGTTCATTTATAAAAATAGAACAGCACAATTTTCCGTCTCATTTAAATCACAGTAAGTAAAAATTGCAACTTTAATAATCATATGAGGGTTTGCGGATTAAGCGAAATCGTTTTGGAATACTTTTATTTAAAAAAGAATTTTAAAAGATATATAAAAGAAACAGTGAACAGTTTTTTATCAACACATGTAACTAGTGCTTTGCTTATGCGCCATCTTGTTCTGGTACAACTATTGTTACCAAATTACATATATTTTGGTCTAAAAACTAACTATATTGAACATTGTTACCAACACCGCCTCTCAATGGTAAATCTCTAAATATAAAAAAAAAAAATTATTCTAACCCTAAACCCTGACTAAACTTTATAAACAATGTACTACCTAACGGTTTGGTAAATAAATCTGCCGGTTGTTCAGTTGTGCTAATACCCAGGCAGCAGACTGACGTCATTATGACATCTTATTTTCGTCATACAGGACGTCATTTATCCTCTGAAAACTAACATGATAATGTCGGTAAAATGACGTGAATATGTCACAGCCCAAATGACGTCATATTTAGACGCCCTTTTCACGTCTAAATATGACGTGTTTATGACGTTTCCTAGTAGTCTTTATAACGTCATTATGACGTTTTTATAACGTTGTTTTAATGTCACCTTTGTTGTTATTCTTTATACTTAATTAAGACGTTACATTTGATAATGTTACTCCTTTGTAATTTTTCTATAGGAACTGTGGGTCACTTAATAAAACAAAATAAGAAAATGAAATAATTATAATTAAAAAGAAAAACAGTTTAAATACATGAAATGTTATTAGCAAAAAACATTAATTTATATAAATCCAACTGCTCCAAATGTGGCCAACTTGTTCGTTATCATTTTGGTTTGGCACAATGATTTTTCTATGAGTGCCGCCATTTTATACTATTTCACGAACCTGAGAACATTTTAGGAAACATCCTATGAATGTAAAAGATAAAAAATCATTAAAGAATAAGGATATAGATATAAAAATACCTTATGCTGGGTTGATACTGATATAACTTTTCTTACTGGCCTTCTCTTAACTTTTAACAACAATCCTGAATGCACACGGGCCACGATCCACGATGCACACACCATTACACATGGCCGATGCAACAATCTGCGATACCGTTCTCGTGCTTGCTCGAACGGCTCGAACACACACGAGCCATACTCCACAGACCGATAACCACAGACAGACGCAGTCATGTGTCACGTGGTGTCATACAATCTTTATGCATTTAAGCGCCAGATTTAAACGTTAATAGACCTAACAGTTTTAAGAAAGAATTGTTTAAGCCATATTATTTTACATAAATAAAATGTATTGAAATCACGTTTAATATAAACCTTAATTTAATAGTGAAAATAAATTGACGTCACACTGACGTCGAATTTGTGACGTCAAAAAGACGTTAAAGAAGTGACGTCTAATCATCTCATTTTTTTGGTAACATGACTTTGATGACCAAGAATTACCAAAAAATGTCGTCAAAATGTCGTCAGTCTGCTGCCTGGGTATATTCTAAAGAAAACATGAAATTTAATGTCTACATGTTTCAGTTTTTATTAAATTCCAGATTTTTGCACACTTTTATGGCAGACTGATTGTCCTCATAAATTTTAACGCATACAAATTCATTATTAATTTTTAAATCAAAAAATAAATATCTTACCTAACGTGCTTCAGAAAAAGCTAAACAGAGTGCTACATATTCGACTTCCGTTAAGGACAAGGCAACTACTGATTCCTTGCGACAAGCCAAGCAATTGTACAATCAAATAATTTAAACACGTAACCTGCAGTAGATTTACGATTTGTGTTGTCCCCGGCCTAATCCGAATCTGCATACCCTGTGGTACAATTCACATAATTAAAACTTTTGAATGTTAAACTGAGATGGATAGTGCCTTGCACATATCTAAGTACTCTCTTAAGACATTTCCACAAGTCTGAGCTGGCACATGACTAATACCGGCTTAAAATATTTATAGTTATGCATAAGTCAGGCCTTGAACACAACATGGCATACATCAACGGACCAATAAGCATTCGGCACTTATGTTCAATGTGAGGACTTTCAGATTTATCTCTTTTTAAAATCTCATGTTTAAATGTATTTCCATATTAGTTGATATGGCTTTACAATTTTCCATATTAAACTTTAATAAAATATTTTTCGAGTATGTTGTTTTATTAATAGTTATTTTATTTTTGAATATGTCTTGAGATATTACCATTCCCAAAAAATGTTTAACAGGCCCTAAGCATTTTATATTAAATTCTTTATTTAACAACTGTTTAACTATAGTTACTTCTATGGAGGTAATGCCTGCTAACAACAAATCATCAATATATATCAATAAGTACATTTTACAATTTTGTGTAACTTTAATATATAAGCAATATTCATATTCTGATCTGTAAAAACCAAATATAACATTACACTATTAAATGTATCATTCCAATTCTTTAGTTTCATTAAAACCTTTATGCAATGAGATATATACATTTCCTTGGATATGCATTACAAACATCTAATTGATGAGTTAAAATCTTTAAATGATTACTTACTGCTAAGAAAATCCTTACTAAGGGCAATTTAGCCTTCGGGCTATAAATATCATTAAAAAATGTATTCTTTTATTCGAAACCCATAGCCACTAGGCGAGCCTTGTATGTAGCTACTTCACCACATTCATTTTTCTTTTTATTGAAAATTCACTTGCTTTCTATGACTTCACACTTACTTGGCTTACGCACACATTCCCACGTTCGATTTTTTCAAGCGCACTCACTTCACTCTCGATAGCGTTCTTCCACTTTTGAGCTTCCTTGCTTGACACTGCATCATCATATGATTTTGGTTCATCTTCTACAAATGTCAAAAAACTTGTATCATAGGGTGCGTTCACCAGACGGTAATCTGCTGCAAATTTTACTCAGCGCGATGAATTTGCGCTGAGCCGACTCAACATATGCTTAGACGTGCGCAGTGAGATGACAGTTCATGGTTGCGCGTGCTTTCTTGATTTTTAAAACGTACATATTATGGAAAATTTGTCAACATACAGTTTGGTGTTTTCTGACGAGGATCAGCATCAGCCATGTAATTTGGTATAATGGTATTACACTCATAGTATTCTTCATTTCTTACTGGTATTACTCTCTCAGGTCTCCCTATATTGACCGGCTGTACTAAGTTACCTATAGCACCACCTATGACTTTAAAATTCAGATGATTAACTCCATTAAAACCCGTCTCAACGGTCAACGGAACGTTCAGCCAATTTCCATCTGCTGCTGGATGTCCTATTGGCCATCACGAATTCGTATCGAACCGCTCCCACTCTCGCTCTGCATGTACTTGCCGGGATTACCCCCTTCAGGTGGATGCACGGGCGAGATGGGAAGGCTACACAGACATACGACGACAACCAGATGCATACAAAACAAGAACCACCGACACAGCACACCCAGCCCTAAGACACATCCTGACAACCGACCACATCCAAGAATCAAACTATAACGCATACTCAGACGCAACAATAAAAGACAACCAACATTTTATTGGCATCACGATATGGAACGGTTAACAACAAACACACGCAGGCCGATAGAAAATAACCACAGACAGCGACATTAACACCCTTGAGGCCCTAGGGGTCTACCTCACTGCCAAATACCTACAACAGAACATGACGGACACCGACGAACACATTACAATACACACAGACTCACTAAACACTGTAACCTCAATGCACAACAACAACTCAAGAAACAAAATAGTCTTACACAGAAAATTGCAACAACCCTTAAACAACAAAACAATACACTAACAATCAAATGGGAACACAGAAACAACGACAGGATAAAACAGGCACATAACATAGCACAAGACAACACACTGCAACACACTGACCTAGAACATACAAACATGAAAGTCCTAAGAGACAAAATGCACAAAACAAAACTATTACTTTGGCAACACATATGGGAACACAGACAAACAGGACCAACAATATACAACATTATCAGAAAAGTATCTACAAAATGGGTAGGCTACACTTGGAAAACAACACAAACAATGACAGGACACGGAAATAAAAAGGCGTATTATGACCGCTTCCACCTCAGAGACGACATCGACACTAATTGCGAACACTGTGGCACATACGAAGACCTTGATCACGCGACAATTCATTGTAACGAACAAAGACTCAACGCAAGACAACTACTCACCAACAGACTAGCAACTATACAAAAGATCTACCCACCCACAGACATCGACACAGACAACAAACAGTTGGTCAGCTGGATAAATCAATGGGGAGAGGCCATAATTCACGATGAGAACGATGATTAATAGACTATACTAGCTTCAGAACAAAACTATTCTCCCTCTGTTTCACCTACCATATTACCCTACCCCACTCTTTTTTCCTTACAAACAAAAAACCTCATACCCCTTTTTTTTATTTATTTCTAACATATCTATAGACCTGCGCTTGTGGACGGGAACGGCTCACACATAAAGTATCAAACAACTTCATAAAAAAAAAAACAGTGCGCATTCTAAAAATCAAAATGACCCGAAAATTGGTGCGGGAAAATCTGTGCGCGGCCCCTACCCAACTCCCAACCAAATTAATGTTGTGCCACACCAAACGCCTTAGACCTAAGATATTTGTTAGTAGAATAAGAGCACAAACATTATACCCTTTGCAAAACACACCTTAGATATGTATGTAAAAATACGAAATAAAGGTCGACGGTCTTATTTCCCCGCTCATTTTTGGAGTGTGGAAGATGGGATGGGTTCCCTTGACAGTGGCTTCGCTTAAAGATTGGGAGGAAAAGCAAACCCAATGCCGAAAGGTAGGCGGGTGTGCTGCGGGAGAGGCGCCTAAAAAACACTTCTCTCCGCCGCAAATTAGTTCTCGTGCTGCCGGATGTTAATGCCCGGCCGTTTAGCGCTTAAAGTTAAGTGCTGGCGTCTGGTGAACGTCTTTAACCTGGTTGGAGGATTTCGATTTTTTCTTAGACTATACCTACTTTCTTCGATTGGCTTGGCGATTGTTTCTGGGTTGTTTTCAGCCGAGCTTTAAGCTTCTGTATCAGAAAAATTTTCACCAATACTTTGATTTTCACTTCCGTGTACCGTTTCAGTTTCACTTATGTCTTGTATCATTTCGGGAATACATCTTCTATCTACTTCAATTTTCTTTTCATTTCGCTCTGGTAAAAATATTATGGCATTATACTTTGTTTGTTTCAGGAAAAAATATTCTGTATTCTTTAACATTTACTCCGTACCCCAAAAAAATACCTTCTTTATTTTTGGCATCCCATTTTAGTCTCGTTTCTTTGGGTATATGTACAGACACTTTTTGTCCAAAGGCTTTAAAAATATTAAAATTAATTATCTTCTTATGGCATAATTCATAGAGTGACTTATCTTTTACTGAGCTTGTACCAGTTTTATTTAATGTATATGCAACATAATTTATGGCTTCTGCCCAAAACTTTTTGTGCATACCCTGTATCTTAGTTCTCGCTGATTCTACTAGGGTTCTTATTTCTCGTTCCGCTCTACCATTTTGTTGAGGGGTGTAAACTACTCACCTTTGGTGACGTATACCCTTAGTTTATAATATTTTCCTTACTTCTTGGTTAACGAATTGTAGACCATTATCAGTTCTTAGTATTTTAATTTTCGCATTTGCTTCTCTCTCAACCAAAGGCATACATTTTTTCAGGTTTCTTTTTACTTCCCCTTTCGTTTTCATGAAATATACCCATCGATAAGATGAGAAGTAATCTTTTAAAACAACGAAATACCTTGCATTTCCTAAAGGACCAGTTTTCATAGGGTCACAAACATCGACATGGATTGTTTCTAAAAGTTGTGTAGCTCTATACTCACTTCTAGGAAATGGTGGTCTGTGTTGTTTGCCTGAGAGACACTTTTCACATGCAAATGTAATATTCATGAATTCAATATTATTTCTCAATAAAACTGATTTTATCTAATTTATGTTTTGGTAGACGAGTCGATTATGCCAAACTTGAAGGCTGCCAAGGGTGTCAACTAAATGACAGGTTGAGACGTCATAACCAACTTCAGGAGGATCACGTTCTGATATATTATTTGCTGAATCCGTGACACACAATTCATTCATGTTTTGCTCGTGAACTTTAGGAGTTGTGTTGACTTGTACAAAATCCATAATGTACAATTTATTTGTTCTATTTGATATGGCCCTTTGCCATTTCTGTCCAGAAATTCACATTTTTTTATTGCCCGATATCATTGTGAATTCTTTATCTACTAGGACACACTCAACTGATAATAAGTTGAATTTCAGGTTTGGTACATACAGTGTGTCCGTAAAGTATGGAACAAATTCATTTTTAGCTAAATAGACCATTTTAAGAAATCATCCTGAAACATGTCGATTTTTGATTTTAATTTACCGTATTTTAAAATAATAATCTAATATACAGGGTGAATTACTTTCGAGTAATGGCGTCACCGTCATTTTTTTTTAATGGAACACCCCCATTTTGTCTCAATTTTCGGATTACTCTAGCTGAGCTGATTCCAAAAATGTATCACATGTTGATTCCAATTGGTACAGGGTGGACTTGTGGTCTAGCAGACAGAATATGAAAGAAATTATTTTCAATCACTTGTTAGTCAAATGGCACCATGAATCATCTTTAAGTAGCCCCAGAGTGCTACGGCAAATAATAATTATAGCCATCCCTTCCTCCACACAAATTCAGTCGGCTTCAAGGGTTGTAATTTACTCGTAGGGGGGTGAATTAGGGAGAGTATTATTATAATTATTATATAATGGCATTATAACATAGCACAAAAAGTATTATGAGTTTAAGAATTCACTTAACGTGTTCGGATATAAATTAACTAAAAATTTTAATAATTTAGTTTTTAAGTCTTTAACTTTCAAGTAAAAAGGAAGAGTATTATAAATTTTATTCACATATACAGTACTTATTATTTTGTATTAGGCATAGCCGTGATTTTACAGCGAAAATATGGCAACTACGATATCCCCGCTATTACTATACTTTCTAGCTTTGTGTCTCACATTCGGTTCGGCTAATATCTAGTCGACGCGACAACTGACTATTGCCCTGTTGCCATTTTATTAACTTGTATACTAGTAGTATGCCTAACATGAAAAATAAGCACTGTATAATATATACTCCATTTTGGATCATTGTTAATATACGATATGGATATGTATAATTTATTGACCTTGCAGGATGTTGTAAGAATAAATACATCAGGTGGTTTTAAGTTAGACCTATTTCTACTAAATAATACAAGGTTTGTTTTGGCTTTATTAATAATCACACAATACAATACCACAGTGTTGTAATATTACCAATGCTGCGAAACAAACTTATTTCTATACAAACCATTAATATGTGTAATATTTATTTATTTATTTATTTATTTATTCCAGAAACAAACAGGCATGAGCCTAATTACATCAGCGAAAATAGAAATCAACAAAAATACATAATATCTAATTAAATATATAAGTGAAATTAAAATAAACAAACCTCGCTACTACAAAATTTTAACAAAGTTCATTAAAGAACTGCAAAACCCCACACCAAGGCCACGGAAATCCTACAAGGTTATGTCTCTTTAATCGAGCCCAACAATTTTGTTAAGTTCCTTTCTATCTGTGCTTATAGCTACATCAAAAATACCGCAAGAAATGCCTTCGGAGTGTACATTAAACAAAAGACAAATTTTTTCTACTAGACCATGATTATCCGCACGAAAAGTTAATTGACGGGGACGAATACCTGCTATTGGAACATTGATTTTTATTTGACTCAATAAATATTGACTGTCCAAATATCCATTTAATAATTTATGTAAAAAGACAAGGTTGATTATAGAGCGTCTATGTTCCAATTTTTCAATTTCAAACTCTTTTCTAATAGGTCCAAATGAAACAAATCCTGGACTTGTATGATACTTTTTAAAGTATAAATATTTGACAAATTTATTTTGAATAGTTTCCAAAATTTGTTTTAAATTTTGTTGTGTAGGGTCCCATACAGTGGATGCATATTCTAATTTACTACGAACGAGAGCAAAAAATACATTTTTAATTGAGTGTGTGTCTGTAAAGTCCCTAGTCGTGCGTTTCAAAAAGCCTAACAATTTGTTAGCTTCTTTGGTAATGTTATGGATATAATAATAATATAATAATAATAATAATAATATAATAATATATATAATAATAATAATTTATTCACAAATAATAATAATAATAATAATTTATTCACAAAAAAATACAATAATAATTACAATTACATAGTATTATACAAATTTAAAAAACGGTATCTGTGAATAAAACATACTCGATAAGCGTATAAACGCTTGTTTCGAAAAAACAAAAGAAATATATTTAAAATCTAAAATAATATTTAAAAGTAACATAAATTACTAAAATCGATTTAAACATAAATAAATTAAAAATATAACATAATGTAGGTGCTATAAATTATATTAGCATTTTTTATTTTAATATTTTAATATAAAAAACTCAAAAATTTAAAATCTATAATCTAAAATCTTAAAAACTTAAAAACCTGCACAATCATTTTTTTTTTGGGATAATGTTTAATTTTCAAAATAACCATGGATCATACTGCAAGAGTTAGCTAAAATAAATTGTTTTAGTCTTTTTTTAAAAGTGTACAAGTTTGGGTGCGAAATAGGAAAATGATCTCTGTGAAACCACTTTGAACATTAATGGAGCTAAATAACGACATTTTTGTCTAGTATTATATTCATGATATACTAGACCATGATATTTGTTGCTACAGCAAAAAAAATACAATTGTCTTATATCCATTATTTTTGTTTCGGTATACAAGGTTTCTGTAGGATATCTAGATTTTTTTGAATAAATTAACTTCAGAAATCGCCTTTGTGTGACTTCTAAAGAGTGAAGGTGTTTTCAAAGCTGCACCCCACACAGTGATTGCATATCGAAGATGGCTTTCAACTAGAGCACAATAAAGGGTTTTAAGATGGTGTAATGGTAAAATATCTTTTAAAAATTTGAATTTGTACAAAATACTGCGTAGTTTATTTACCGTGTAGGATATGTGTAGGTTCCATTTTAAAAAAGGGTCTATTATTACTCCAAGGTATTTAATTTTATTTTTATTTGAAATGAAAAAAGAGTCTCCGCCATCAGTAATTTTTAGGTGATCAAACGGTGGTGCACCATATGAATTGCAGCTAAATGGTAAACAATGTGTTTTTTCTATATTTATAGTCAATAATTTTTTATTAATAATTAGAAAGTCTTGTTCCGCTTTAGTTTTTAAGTTAATCCAGCTATCGTCAGAATAGAAAATAGCTGTGTCATCCGCGAACCCAGTTATGTTTCCTATACTTCCCTGTAAAAACAAATCATTTATATATATGTTATAAAGAATAGGACCCAGTATAGATCCCTGTGGTACCCCATATTCGATAGCTTGCCATCTACTGGAAAATCCATCCACTCTTACTGCCTGAAATCTCTCATTTAAATGCTCGTCAAATTTGAAATTATTTTGAAAAACTATTCCCAAGTCGGTCATGTTTGACACTCTTTCTAGTGTTGATCCTTGCATTGTGTAGATAAAATTTTGAGGATTTCGAATGTTACTGAATGTAATAACCTTGCATTTGGAAAGATTAAAATGTAATTTATTTTCAAATGACCAATCCGAAATTGAGTCTAAGTCATTTTGAAGGTCTAGATAGTCATCTAGGGTGGATATTTTCTTAAAAACTTTTAGATCATCTGCATACATTAGGCAGTCTGATG